TGTGAGTGGTGTATTATAAACACAGTTTCAGTCCTTGAGAAAGCACACAAACAAAATAAAATTTAAAGTCTCTGTGGCACCTATGACACAAATAGACTAGCAGTTGTCCTTACCAGCTTGATTGCCAATATGTATTCACTTTAAGTTATTTACAGTCTCTTCTGTGGTCACTGATGACACTATGAACTGGTTTACCTAAAATCACAGTACTACACTCCCTGGTTGGCCTTTATCACAGCCGTGACCACAACTTAAAAAAAAATAAAATAAAAGCTTTGTCATGTGGCAGTGATTTTGTAGTTATAGGCCTCTGACCTTGGCTGCAACTCCAACTCGGTGGAAATTGAGTTTTCAAAAATACAATCGCGTCTGGCATTAAAAGTCCTACATCGATTTACACTTTCACATCACTAAGACGATCTTGATGATCTTATGTAATCACTGTCCAATTTCTACCACTCTACATCGAAGGCCCGAATGCCAAACACGCTTTGTTACAGAGACGCAACAACGACCCGCCCGCTACCTAACAGTAAACTTTCAAGTTTTATCATCAGACTTCCTAAACATTCCACAGAGATTGTTGCATCATAACAAAGGTCAAATAAAGAAAATGTGTACTGAACTGTCTTTATTAATTGATTAAATTATCATTGGACCAATGATGTACTGTACAAGAAATATAGCATTTGGGAGATTTATTACCATCAGATCACTTAACTTATATAACTACCCCTTGCTGCAGTAACTAACATTAGTATTTAAAAAAATAAATAAATAAAACACTACAGTATAGTCTCAATTTACGCGGATTTGGTTTACGCGTTTGGTCATTTACGCGGCACCTTGCCAGACCAACAATTTTTATTTACACGGTTCATTCCATCATTTACGTGGGAAGCGGCGCGGGCAGAGTGCGCACAAGGTTGCCCAGTCATCAAAACATTATCGAGTTCTTCACCCACCACAGCCGGCCCAAGTCAGTGATGGTGAGGATATGGACTTTGAGGGGTTTGACAAAGAGGCCCTGCAAGCCTCTGTGGTGGATAGTGATACAATTGATACAAGTGATACAGGTGAGGGCCAATAATCTGCCCTCTGCCTCGGAACCAACCCCCATCCCCGTGTGCCCAGCCATCTTTTCTACTAACGTAAGTGTTGAAAAACCTAATATTATTAAATATATTTCTCTTAAATATTAATTGTGTGTGCATACCATCATAAAATTAAGATATTATTTTTACTACAACGTACGTATTGTGTTAGAAAAAGTGGAGTTTGGGGGTTGGCCCAGTCTCTATTTCAATTAATCCTATTTGTTCTGTTATTTCGTTTACGCGTTTCTCGTTTTACGCGGACCTCCATGGGTTCAATTGACTGTGTAAATGAAGACTATACTGTACACTATTGTGAAAGTGTTTTTTTTTTCCCCAGGAGGTGGACTTGTCATTGTTGCTGGGCATCTCAGAGAACCGCTATGACGCCATAGACTTTAGCGAGGTGGTCATGATGGACAACTTCGTTGTAGCCTACAAGCGACCAACCCTTGGCTCAGACATCGCAGGTTTCGTCAAGCCCTTCACGCCCCTGGTGAGTACAGGTGTAAGACACTGCTGGGCGACACTTCTACTCAATGTGTTTTCTCAAGGAAATCACAAATTCGCCTGTACATATTTTGGTTATGACACTCGTACATACTGCAGAATATGTGTGCAGCACATACTGAGGTCCAGGCTCCAGAGAAAAGATTAGTTGTTATTATTGATGAAGTTAGGCAAAGGATGATGATTCTGATTTAGTGATTACTGTACTAGCTATGTAAATATATGCAACACAAATTTAAATTAAGTGCAACTTGATTTTTATTGTACAGTACTTTATAGCACAGTTTGTCATTGATGCCACACAGTTGTGGGCAGAGCTTCTGGGCGACCTCGTAGTAGCAGTGCGGAGGACACACAAAGCGCCGTTTACCTGTTACCCTCGGTAATAAATTCTAATACAGTACAGGGGCAGATTCAGGAATATCAAAACGAAAGGAGTCCAAGAAGTTGTGAGCATTTTGAGACCATGTCCACTTGCTATAAGAAGATATTCTGAGGTCAATAGTACAAGGAGTTACTTTTTACTATATAAAAGCACTGAGTACAATACTGCATTATAGAAAAAATATAGGATATTTTCTGATGAAAAGGGGGGGGGGGGGTCAGGACCCCCCAGGACCACCCTTCTGGATCCACTGCTAAAATTATTATCTTACTCATTAAAAGACACAACGAAATACACCAAGATTTCATGTTTCACCGATTTCATTTCGCGAGCACTACCTAATGTAACCAAGTCTTATATTTGGCGTAAAATATCATGAGTTTTGTGAGATCCAGCCAGCTGAATGCTGGCCACCGTCTTGAATGACGTCACAACCCCTCATACCAGTTACAGTCATTTCTGCTATAAAGCGTGTTTTGTCAGTGTTAATTGGTTGTAACGCGATTGATGAATAGGGGAATGCTGTTTGTAAAATGCTAACGTTTGCATACGAATGTTGGCTATAACGCGATTCCATCCTCAACGTTTTAAACGTGGTGCGGGTTATGCAATGTTTACAGTTCACGTTCGACATTACATTTTCAGTTAATTCGTGTCTTTTGTTTGTGAAGTGTTTTTTGAGAAGTACTCTGTAAATTTCGTTCTATTTTTGCAAATTTAGCTGTTACCCATAAATACTGTATGAAAAGAATAAGTAAAAAGAATGTTTCGCAGTGAGGACTAATGACGGTTTACACAAGGGCTCTCTGTTTACATCATGTGATCAGTTGAATCGCGCGGTTTCTGTCAATTGCTCCGTGATTTTCGCTATTTTCTCCAATTTTGTTGTGTTAGCGATGAATACGGAAAGACAAGGTAAGAAGGTTGTTTCCAAGAAGCGTTCTGGTAGTCAAATTGCCGGTGGTGAACGTAAAAGAGGTTTACAAGAACGCAACTATTGCGTTGTAGCCCGCGCCATCATAGCGACTACCCTGGCTGTTATTGTGTGCTTTTTTGGGTGGTGCTACTGTCATGATCGTGATAACGGCTAACCTGAAAACCTTAAGGATTCATATTACGCTCAAACGTCCACAAAACCTTCTGAGTCCCCCAGTGGAAACGTCCCCCATTTTCTCTGTTTCCCCGTCTTTGTTTGTAGAGAACTTTGAATATAATCCGCGGATTTAGTAGCAGACACTGTATGTTGGGACCTGTTGCCATCCAACCCTTTGTAATCAATTTAATTTTGCTTTTGATAGCTGAGTCAGAGCATTGTTAGTGAAGATAATAGTAGGGAATGAAACTGAGTTCATAGTCTCAGTTTCAACGTCAGAGTGTACAGTAAATTAATTCATCGGAATAGAAGTAGGTGGACTCCCTGGCCTATTTTGAGTGAGGGCGCCGCGGGCATTTCTACCGTTAGTGAGTGCCCGACCCTTCATCCATACAGGTATGCCATTCCACTCTGTGTTGTAATTCGCCCTTCTTTAAGTGATTTGACCCAATTAATAGTTGATTGTGCAAGTGTTACAGTAACGTAGTTGATATGCTCTGAGTGAAGTCATATTTACGTCTTTAACGTCCCCTGAAACGTGATGTTGTTGTCACCGTTAGGGAGTGCCCGTCCCTTCATCCATACAGGTCCCTAACGCAGCCTAGGCCTTGTCTGTAGCGTGGATGTTGTATCCACTATGGCTGGGAAGATGTCCGAGGTCCAGTAGGATCAGTTAGCTTCGTGAGACCCGGCCGTCAGACACTTCAGACTACCTATGGCCCCCATAGCTGGCTCGTCTGGACCTAACGCTCGGTCTGCGAGGTGACCCTGGATCACCAAGCCACACACCACTACCAGCCCCCATCATTGGTGGATGAGTGTCTAACTCCGTAGGGCTATTTGTGTGGTGGGATTAATCCACTGGGATCTCCAGAGTTCGTCGGAAAGTACCCCATGGTGGCTGGACCCCATGGCTGTTGCTTGAGTATCACTCCTGACGACTGAAGGTGGTAGTGGCAGTTGCCCTGGTCTTTATGGTGCCAAGTGACTATAAGAGTTGTGTGTTATTGAGTATGTCCACCCAGTAGTGGTGTGAGTATGTTGAGCCTGAGGGTCTAGTACTAGATTTCGTCTGTTGGTACAAATAAATCCTTTCTCCTAATTTCATAGTAATGTTTAAATAAATTTTGTATTTGTTTATTGTGTCTATTATTTACCTACAGTATTTACCGTTATTTCTTCCCTATTACTTGATACTATCATTACATACCCACGAGCCTCCTCTCGTCACGCTACCAATGGTAATAAGTATGAGAGTAAAAGGAATTGTTACTGGCTCACAGAGGCCCTCATAAAAGGTGGCAGTAGTGGCCCTCATACTACCACCTGTCGAGTCAAGATAATGGCCTATACCTCTACTGGGGGTACTACTGGTGCTGGTGGGGGTGGGACAGACACACCTAAGGGGCCAAATAAGGAAAAGGCGAAGCCGGACTATCATAAGGGAGTTAAGTTTGCCAGGTACTCGACTCAGGATAAGCAGCGTGTGATTAAATTACTTGAGGAAGTCCTAAAAACTAGTTTCCGGAAAGCACAATCAGGTCAATAAAGGCAGAATTTGTATCATTTGGAGGTTATAAATGGGCAAATCAGAGGTTGATGTAGAGTGGCCAGTCTATATTGTTATTTTTCCCATTAGTTTATGTATTTGAATTTGGCACAACTTTTCCAGTCTATAGTACTCTCGAAATACAAGATCTTACTGTACACTAAAATATGAACTATATATTTCTAGTGAGATTTTGTCCTCTGTTCCAACATTGCTGCGTTGCTGCCATGCTCTTGCT